ATATAATTATCAGATTACTGCAATAACTAGAAGAGGCGAACTCATCCATGTGTTGTAAATGCTTTAAGCAGTGCTTTTCTAAATCCACTCAACGCGTCAAGGAATCACCCATTCACACGTAGGCCTCTCTCAATAACACGTTTTGAAGTGCTACAGAAAATACCATGATAAAAAAATAATAGAACTATCTTGTGTATCTTGGATATATTATGTCTTCACAATAAACCGAAGATACACAAGCTAACCCTTTTCTAAATGTACAATATTTTTAAGAAAAACTTGAGCTGCAGTACATGAATAATAAAATGAAACAATTTAGTACAATGACTCCAATACTCTGACAACAAGTACCACCTAAGGAAATTTTGCTTTCCAAGTACTGTCAGATCAGTGATTAAACCAGACGTTGCCGGAACAAAACTTGGGGACTGGTGGCCATTTTATTTGTTTGAGCACATTTCTGTACATATGTTGTACTGGGATGTTCATTCATTCTGACTCAAGTCATAGATGGGCAACTGACTACCAACTGAGCCACTGTCACCAATAAGTTAGTTTTCCAGTAAAAGTATTATGTGAGTGAACTGTTTGTACAGGGTGACCAGACGTCCCTATTAACCCTGGACAGTCCCAGTTTTGAGCCCTGTGTCCCCTGTCCCAGCAGATTTCTCCAAAACCACTGATTTGTCCCAGTTTTATACAAAATATTTCCCAGTAGCCTTTTGTCATTTGTTAAGTAAAAATTTTGAAAACTGTAACTGAAAATTGTACAGACAGAAGTCAAGAATGGATAATTTTATGTGTTCTTTTCACAATTTTATTCACATCAACCATCCCAACCCGAGTGTGTCCCAGTTTTGAATTTTGAAAATCTTGTCACCCTATACTTGTATTCAGTTACGCTGTGTTTGCTATAAACTGGTTAAAATCACAAAGGTCTGGTTTAAAATGGGAGATTTTGTGCTTTCTAGATTACTTCATAAATCGGGTAAAGGGCCATAGTATGGAAGTGTGAAGTGAAGTGACAACGTTTGTCATGCCTGTATTCATTTTGGCCTGTTCTGTGTAAATCCCATCAAGAGGGGGCTATGTGGTGAAAAGTGCATTACCTTAATCAACTCTGAAGCCAACAGCAGTCTTAATAATGTTTTCTAGGTCAGCAAAAGGAAAGGAAACATCTTGGCAGTAAAGACAAAAGTAGCAGACTTGAAAAATGTTGAGGGATATTGATGTGACTGTCACTGGATCAAACAACAGCCTTCCTGAGGGCTGAATGTGCAGCTATTCACAGTTAAAAAAACAAAACAAAAAACAAGTCTACAATAGCTTATTTGAGCTCAAATTAGCATTCCACTTTCTACAAGAGGAAAGAGGCCAATGCTTTTACTAGTTCAAAAAGCACCCCTCTCCTTTGATAGTTGTTTTGTAAAACTAGGGAAATGTAACTGTAGCTGTGTGTAGTGATATTTACCAAAAATATGCATAAATCCAGGGGTGGAAAGAAACAAGCAAATGCTCATATTACTGTAATTGAAAAGATTCTTTTCAGATAATTGTACGTTTTTGAGCATATTTTTAAACAGGTACTTTTTATTTTTACTTAAGTACAAATTTGGCAGCAGTATTTGTAGATACTCTTTCCACTACTACATATATCACAACAGCAGAACAGTTTTAGAGTGAGTTAAGTAAGCTTCTTCTTTTTTTTTTTTTTTCATTATGAATCATGCACAAAAGAAAGGACATACTATGTCCCAAACCTCTAAGGCTCAAAGTGAGCATGTATATAGAGCACAGAATACTACATCACAAACAGGAACAGAAAACTTGATTTTGAAGGCATACCAAATTATTACAAGCTTCATTGTCATAAATTGCAAATTCATCATATCACAATTTTCCTAGAGTTAGATCACAGTTTTGATTTCTATCACAATTCATGTACACAGTCAGTATCTTCATAATGCCTTGAAAAGGTAATTAAAGTCATAATGTTCTTATTAAAGTAATTAATCACACTCAATTGTTATTGGTTAGATTAGGTCCCTGACCCAGAACATCACTGAGGCTGACCTATAGAAGTTGTGGGCGGGTCTTTGAGCACAAGACTTTGAGCACAGTGCTGCAATCAAGAGAAAATGAGTAAATCATGACATATATATATACAACTAAATGATAAATTACATTTGACATCATCACCCACCTCTAATTGCTCGCTATTAAGAACAATAATAATCTAGCCTAAGATAGATCTTCCCATTAACACAAAATGGAAATTTGCTTTCTTTGCAAGTTTTGAAAACATGCTGTGGAAATAGTTCTATATCAGGAAAGAATCTTTTCACCCTTTACAAACAAATACCAGTCTTATTTATCTGCCTAAAAAAATAAGTAAGTAGAATGAAACTGGGTGATTGGGATATGGTTGTGGTAAAAAGTAGTAAGACTGAATGAAAGTAGAATAAATATGATTTTGTGCAAAATTGTACTATGTGCTGTAATTTATCCAAGCTGTTGGAAGTGTCTGCAGGGGAATGAAATGGCTCCTATTTTGTGTTGAAATATGGTAATGGCGCTGGTATTTCGATCATCACTCATAAAGAAGGGTTTACAATGTGATATTTGAACAGGCCTGCAGGTTCGTACTGTTGGGCTGTTTAAATGACTGATCCTCTCTTGGGACGGAGTGCACCAATGAACCACTGCTACACTAAGGCTAATAGCTGGAATCTTATGGAATATTATGTATTAAGATGAAATAAGATTCTTACTGACTTATAACTAACTTAATTAAATACGAGGCTAGTCCTCTTTAAAAGAAAAATAAACCAAGACAGAAAAAAAGCCACTTAAACCGCTAACCAGTAGTTCCTAAATAGATACAACCTGAAACACAAGGCATAGTAGACTAAGGGTAAGCTCAGCTGGCCGCACAAGTGGAACAAGCACACATAACTCCATACAGTCATGTCTTGTCCATGGTAGGCATCAGTATTTGGGCCAGGTTCATACTTGATATTTAGATATTCTGTCCAAGTAAACAGCTTTATATGTGTCAGTGATCCAAGACACCACATAGAATCTGTTTGTACGTCTTTTAATGTTTATGAGACTGTCCTTATTACTTTGCTAAGTTGGATTCAGTGCCTAACTTAGTAGTAATTTATACAAAGGCCAAACTTTGTTTGATATATGAGAATCATATGGAAATAACTATCCAAGGTGGGTGTTTCTTTTATGGTTCAATGCTTCAACAGTTCACTGTCAAACATTTTAGAATTTAGTATAAGTCCTTTAAATTAGTGAATTAGTTAAAAGCATCTGTGGTTTCATGTACAAGGACGTATCTGCTGACTAAACAACTGCCTCAGCATTTTTTGGTCTAACATGTTCTTACATTTTTCAAAAATATATTCTAGGAACCATAAGTATGATTAAAGACAGCATCTGAGAGTGGCTGAAAAATACCAGAGATGTGTTTCTTTGCCCAGTGGATTTAATGAAGACATACAGATACATGAAGCCATTCTTGCAGCATACCAACCCAATATGATGTTAATTTATTAGTGGGTAAATAAAGAGAGGTGTGCTCAGAAACTGTAAGTACTACAATAATGCTTCAGGTCCAGGTTGCAAAACTGTGCTAGTGTATGGGCACATCTCACGGGAAATGGACAATCTATATTCAGCCCAATGGTAGTCACTAAATCTTATCAAAATCACACAATGAGCTGTATTGGACTTTGAAAAGACAATAAAGTGATATCTGCAGCTGTCAAAGTATCTCAGCTATGCACATTCAGAATCAAATAAATTTGCATTATATACAAGATGTCTACAAGGCAAAGGGAGCTCCCAGAGTCAGTGCAAAAACAGCATTTTGTTTTCTAGAAACAGAAACAGTTTTCCACCAAGAGGACAGATGGCATAATTAGTGACCTGCTGTTCCCTCTGTTCTAAGACATTACAATTTGTGGGGCTGCTTTATAGGGCCATTTCAAAAATATTATAAGAAGAAAAAAAACAAAAAACAAAAAAAAAAACAAAAAAACAGGCTAAACCAAAATCACAAAACTGCAAGGGCACTATTTCTTATGTTGTACTTTGTACCACTAGATGGAGTTATGAGCTACTGTATGACAGTCTTGCATTGCTAAACAGTTTTTGATCATTGTTGTTGATTGCCTGGTTTGTAGGAGAACACACAACAATATGGTTACATTTTTTTAGCTAATACCTAGCTGTTAACATAAACTGCATGATCAAATATTTCTCAACAAGCAGCCTCTGGTAGGTCAAGAGAATATATGCATTAGATGTTTAGCTGCTATAATCTGCTAATCAATACTTGGGCCAAAGGTATCAGTAGATGCTGAAAAATTGCATTTATTTCCTTAAAACATAAGGCACATAGGATATAACAAGACTGCATAATCTTTCCTATTTCAAAAATCCCACAATATTAGCACATAACTGAAACAAGACACAGTAATGTGAGTGTTGGCCCCAACTAATATCTTCTATGATTACTTAGATTCCATTTTGGTAGATAAGTAAACTTTGCTTTGCAATGTTATATCATTTATAAAAATTAATAACAAAAGCTATATTATGAAATAGAGATGCACCAGTCCGACTTTTCCAGTTCCAAGGCCAGTCAATACTTGGCCTGAATGTATATGCAGATACTGAACAATTGTATTTATTTCCTTAAAACACATTTCACATAGAATATAACAAGACTGATCCAACTGTCATGTAACTGTAATTTGTTCTTTAAGTAACTACTGAACCGTTTTTCACATATCAAACATTATGAAATGCATTGGATCAACATTGGCGAGACAAGCACAATGCCTGATACCAGTAATGGTACTGGTGCATCCCTAATATAATGCCCCAGTGGTTAACACAGGCCTAGTGGCTGACCACCTAATGTGTTCATGTGTATAGCTCACACAGGTAAACATGAAAAGAACAGGTTGAGTGTAGACCATTACCTGTATCTCCCTGGCGTGGTATATGATAATCAGCCCCAGGAGAATGATTGTAGAAAGGCTTATCAGGCATTTTAGGGCTAATGAATACAGGGACTCCTGGAAAAGAACAACAAACACTAAAGCAAGCGCCACAACAACAAAATACAATGTACCTTTAAAAGAACCTGGCATTAGAACAGTGACAAACACATGGTACATTAATAAAGTTGTAATAACTATTCTTGTTAGATGTAAATTCTAGCAATGTAGACAACTGTGTGTTTATAATGTAGTAGATGGCCAATTAAGTTCTTATTAACTATTAGGGCACGTGCTAGTAGGCCTATAATAACGCACATGCAGTGGTTCTGCACTCAGTGAGGGCGAGGCACGTGTGGTGGTGTGTGTAATGTAGTAGTTCTACCCTGGTCCTGTACTGGGACTGTGAGCCTTCATGCAGGACCCCGGCCTCTAAGGCTGTGTGGAGCTGTGGGGCACGCAGCTGCACCCTGTCTGACTCATTGTTCCTGACATTCGCGCATGAAGTTTCTCATTTAACATGCTCACCGAGACAAGTCCCTACATTCACTGTGACAGTGGAGCTTAGAGTCGATACGCACCTTTCCATAGGCTCCCCACGAGAGTTCAGTCTCTATTACCATAACTACGATCCCAAACATTCCAAAAATTAAAGCATAATCGCTGAGTCGTTTTCTTTTTTCAAACAAGGCCCTTCTGTGTCCAAGCTTTTCCCCAATGTTTTGGTTCTTCTTTTTGCCCGATTTGCCGCTGCTGTGGCCGCAGCCTCCCCCTCCGTCCCCCGCTCCGTATGGCATCAGAGTGCTCGAATTGTTCTCCGGCTTGGATCCCAGAGTGTCCGACGCATCTGCAGCTGAGATGGGCTGCAGCGGCTGCGACTCAGAATCAAACTCGTGTATGTTTCTACGGGACGAGCTCAAGTTGCTCAGCGGCCGCATCACGCCGCCGTTATATCTGCAGCTGCTCATAGCGATGTCATTGTAGGAGTTGGTGTCTTTGTGGCTACTGCCCAGGCTGCCCCGCTGCTGCTGCTGCTGCTGCTGCTGCTGGAGGAGGTGCTGGTGCTGGGGATGGTGGTGTCTGAATGAACTACCATGACTGGAAGGGGTGAACTCACACGCGCTGTACTGGCCGCCTTGTCTCGAGGACGTCTCTGAAGGCGTCCTCAGTAAAGTTCCAACAGTGGTCGGCGATGTCCCGCGACAAACGAGGCTTTTCCTGGCGTCACAGGTGCAGCTAATGCAGGTGCAGTGCTCGTGCGGCTTGCCGTAGTGCTGCTGGTACTTACAGTGCTGCTGGAAGTGGCGCTCTGCTGGAAACAAGTCGTTCTGCAGCTGCAATGGGGTTTCCATGTCAGGGGTGCCTTGTGCAATAGCAGTCGGGTAGCGCACAGCACCCGGCCAAGGGCGTCCTGCTTCTCACCGCAGGACGACACGCTGGCTGCATGAAGAGAGCCATGTCGGCTCCGATAGAATGACAGCTAGCCTCCGATTGGGCAGCCGGGACCACAACAACTGGACGTACGTCATGGTAAGGGTGCAACAACGGGACACGCTCAGCCCTACCGTGTCAGCACCTTCTGAGGCCATTAAAGGACGTTTTTATTTAAACGTAAATGCTGTATTTTTGGCCTGCTCAATTGGTTTAACTCAATTCAGGTAAATAATTCAGTCTATATTTTAGTGTATTATGTGTATATAATGTACCATATAACTTGGCAAACATGTTTAAGTCTACAGACTGAAGTTATATTTGAAACAAGTCAAAAACCACTAAGCCTGAATAGACATGCCATGTTCTTCACGGTCCGAAAAAGTCAGAGCTTCTCTTGCTGCAGTAGCCTGTACACACTGACTAGATGGGGGTTGATGTATCCCATTACACACATGTAATTACGTTCAATGCACCAACACACACACTGACTGGGACAACTTACACAGGAATGAGCTGCATATTGTTGTATAGCACACTTTTTGATTTCATGACCCTAGTGTAATTAGTCGCCATTTATTCAAAAGGGGGAGATGTGCTGACCACAGAAATAACACTATCTGCTATTGGAGTTATATTACTCATGAAATCTATAGGTACTTTTTATGCAAATTCGGGAGCGAAGTTGTTAGCTATTGATACTCTAGGTCCGAACAGCAAGAAATGAAACCTTTGGAATATCAAAACTGGAACATTATAACAACAATTAAACAATTATCATAGAAAGAAAATGGTCACGGCATGCAAACAATTGAGACAAGAACCCTTTATGTGAATATGCTCACAATGTAAACTCAAATGCATGGCCATTGCTCAAAAATAATTATTTTTCATGTATTGACTTCACTTGAAAGATGCATATTTTTCTGTCATAGCTTTATTTACTGTGGCCTGGTTGCACTGACCCTAATGACCACTATGCTGTGCAGCTGAGGCCTATAATGTACCTATAGAGAGGGGCTTTTCCTGTCGGCTGGCTGCCACCAAATGAACTGCCACTGGTGGCTGTCTAGTTAATGGACTTGAAGAGTTATGGCACTCTGAAGAGATGGTACAGCTGAAGATTGAGTCTGCACATGGACAGACATAAACCAAAGCCCCAGAACCAATCATCCCACCTCTTCTGGACATGCTGCAGTCTCCACATTCTTATGTTCGGGAGAAGAAAACTAATTCAGTTGCTGAGGTTGTGAAGACAGTCTTGATTATCAGGATCCCTGTGGGATTTCAGAAGTTTTCATTATATCATACTGAAAATGATTGTGCATTGTAAATATACATCTGAGAAGTAAAAGCATCCCAAGTGTAGGCCTATATGAGCTATACTGCAGGGTAAGCACACACTTTTGGGCATTTTTGGTAGGCTTTAACAAAGTATGCTTCTCAAGAATAGTGAAATATTTTAGCAATAAACATGTTTCGTGCCCATATACCTTCTTATACATTACTGTTTAACTGTCACCACAGTCTAGGTGCAGATAAAAGCGCTGCAAGAGGGTGACGCTGGGACCTTTGGTGAAGGCTCTACCACCATTGCCCTGTTGATGTTATCACTTTATTCAATTAGATGATAGCAATTAGGCCACAGGATAAATCTTGTGTTGGTGAACAAGACATATAGTCTAGCCTACAAATCTTTATTTTAACACCGAGAGATATAGTCTGTGTGATTATTTAAAGACACTGTTCCCATTGTCTATAGGCAATGTGAACCTGAAGCTGTGATCCCACCCTCACTCTAATCACTACAACAGTCACTGCACAGGATCGCAATGCACACTACCTCCTGATTGGCTGTGTTTGTTCACCACGTGGCGCCTCCCGCTGTCTAGTGGCGGAAGTACTCTCTCTCCATATGGTCGTGTGGATGGATGAATGGACCGATGCATAATTTTACAGACCGCTCGGCACAGTAACAGTGTGACTGGACCCATTGTGGAGCATAATCTGGAAACAGCTTTAATTCTAGCTGTGGTGCACTAAAGTTAAACTATAGTACACTATTGACTTAACCCGTGTTGCTGTAAACTGTCGTCCTGAGACAGTGTAAGCAGTTAGTATAGTTTAGTTTACAAATATTTGACATTTAGTCTTTATCTGGGCATGCAATGTATCAAATATGATATTTAATAGCCTATTATCCTTCTAATGATACAAAAAAAATCCAGTGGTTTATTCTGGTGAACAACATAAATGATGATGAACAGTGAGACCAAGAGAAGTTCTGTCATAAGACTCAGGTCAGATGGGCATTCATGTTAATGGCGTCAGTGGTGCCTTATAACTTGGGGTCATCTGCCCCATTAAGATGGATTTATTACGTAGTAGGCCTAGCCTATGCGAACAGCCAGAGGATATACACACATTGTATGATGTATGATGTATATAATGTGTGCTGTCTGCAATTCTGAAATTCGGGACATAAAGGGGATACACATACACACATGCGTCCATGACAGATGTGCACACATACGCCCACTTCCATAGTCAAAAAAGTCCTATTCGATATTGCTGTCATGGCATACAAACGTCTTCCGTTGTTGCCTTATTTTCCTTTTACATAGGCTACGTCAGGCCAATTTCATGCATAATTTCTTATCAGGTAATTTCATGACTCCATTGACACTGGCTCCAGTTGACTTTACATTGTAGAACTGTCTCTCTCTATCTGTAACTGCTACAGTGATCCTTGTCATTTTGGTATTAAAATGCTTGTATTAACCCGCTCTACATGATTCTGGTGTTTTTATTCCACTATTTTGTCCGTAAATAAATTCCTATTCTTAATTTGGAACTTCATTTCAACCATTTTGACCAAGTTAACTGAAAAAAACAAAACAAAAGAACAAACAAACAAAAAACGTTAATGGAGCTGGATGTGCGCCCATGTTTACTTATGTGGAGTGTGGTAGCTAGCTATGTCCATTTATATAGCTAAGGCCTATACAGACTATGCTGCTAGCCTTGTGACCTTCATTTGACTGGAACTGGATGCTATGGGTGACGTCACACTCCCATAGTTCACTTCTTTATACAGTGATGACCAAAATTATCAGTAACTATAATGATGAGTGTCACAGGGGTCTGCTGCTATGTAATGTTGCACTATGTGTTATGTGCTGAAAACAGAAGCAGTAGTACTTGTAAAACATGTAAGGACGAGGTAATAACACTGCATGAACAACAGAATTATAAAATATAATTTATTTAAAATAAGCCTCATTCTTCAACAAGAACACAAACACAATATGGTACACAGCAAAAACTGGAGGGTTAAAATTTCAGGGTGCAATATTGTTTTTTAGTACAAAAAGTGTTATTTTAACTATTTGAAAGTTAAATGGGGGTGTTAATATGGTTTTCGTTAATTCAATTTCCCTTGGTGTTAATTTGGCACCTCACACCCACCACTTCAAACTCCTGTGAGAGAAGACCAGTTTGAATCAGAAAAACCCTACAAAATGTTATCCATTTACTCTCAAAATGTTAAGATATCTTTAGATTTTAGGGTTAAACAGGAACTTTGGTCCAGTGTTACTTAATTAACATTTCCAAAAAATGTTAAATTAACTCTAGAACAGATTGGACTCATATAAACTCTGAGAAAATGTTAAAATTGATTCTGTGAGAGTCAGTTTTAACACTCCACTTTTTGCTGTGTACCAGGAGTAAACTGAGTAAGTTGAGCAAACAACCAAGAAGCTGAAATGGATTTATTTATTTTATTTTATTTTATTTATTTATTTTGCACATAAAACATGACAATAAAAAGAAACAGACTACATAAAAAGTAGGTGCCGGAAGAGGCAAAAAACCCAGTAGGGCTTATATTAAAGCCTCCACCTTATGAATACATTAAAAATTTTACATTATCACTGTGCATTAAATATATATATATATATATATATATATATATATATATATATATATATATATATATATATATATATATAGAGAGAGAGAGAGAGAGAGAGAGAGAGAGAGAGAGAGAGAGAGAGAGAGAGAGAGAGATTAAAAAATAAAAAAATTACATTAAAACACCATGGATTAAATTCTTTTGATTCAAACATGGATTAAAAAAAACTGAATGAAATAGTTTTTTAAAACAGCCAAAGAACTTGAAATTCAAGGTTAATATTGACAAAAATTGGCATGCCTCAGGCAGCAGTTTAACAGCCATGGAACTAGAAACAAAACCAGACATGAAGGAAGGTAGCACTTTTGCTAATTTTGGAAGGGCCACAGGCCACTGAAGTGTACAACATGTTTGTGTTTGAGCTGAAGCTGGACGTTGTTCTTGCAAAGTCTGAAGCATATTCAACAGTTTTCTGACAACGCTGCTTTTAAAGGCATAGTCCTGCGGCTTTGGGACATTGAAAGACTCGACAGTCAGGAACCAAATAATTTTCAGTGTCGAGGACAAAAAGTTAAGAGAGAGACTTCTTCACAAAACAGATTTGACTCTATATACCATGGGAAGAATAATCAGTGTTTCTACAAAAAGAACGAGTGAAAGAAAGGCAGAAATGTTGTGGATGACAGTCTTGACACAGATTTAATTGACAGATTCTTTGCTGGCCTTGTGAACTGTGAAAGTGACCAAGAAAAGGCTAACTGTTACAATGGGGACATTCATCTACAGGTAAATGGGACTATTGTTACTATGAGACTGGACAGTGGTGCAAAAGCTAATCTTATAAGCATGTCTGACATTAGAGAAATGCAGGCACAACCACAAATACACAAAAAAGAGCAGATCTGAAAGATTACAATGAGCAGCCAATAGAGTGCTGAGGCACTCGCAGCCTCTATTTTTCCTGGTCAATGCAGCGGTCTGGAGTAGTTTTCATGTCATTATACA